TTTTAGAGCTTACTTCTAAAAGATCCCCTGAAACCACTACTGTATATTACAAGAATTTGTCGCACATGATATCACAGAAGTCCAATTTTCTCAAATTGCTCCCATATTACTACCAGAATTATTAAGAATTTTACGATCCGACCAGGTGAGTTAATTCTATTTCTGCACAAATGATTATCAAAGACGTATGGTGAGTTATTGACAAGTTTTATAAAAGGTTTATTCTTATAGAACACGTGGACGATCCATAGCAATATTTAGACATTGCATCGAAATATTGTTTATATGTAAAGAAGAACATCCCGAGGCAACAGAATCGTTCCTAATGGATCCTGTCATACCAGATTGGCTGCAAATTTTTATCAACATCTTGAAGCAACATACTACAGGCAATGAAGAACGTGAATTTGAAGAATATGGTTTAAAATTGGAAGTCGTCAAGGCATGGATAGTCCAATTTTTATTTCAAATTATGAGTTCAATGAAATTATTGTGATATTATTAGGATTTGAATTAATTTAAAATCTTTTTTTAGTGCTTAAACCTTATTATTAAATATTTTCCGAAGTTACTTTCATCATATTTGATCGCATTGTTAGAACCAATATGGTTGGACTTGGTCCATCAACGAGAGAGATATCCTCATTTTTATTTGATAAATTTAATTGCCTATGAAGTTTTGAATCTTTAACTCTTGCGTTTCCATTTAATGTGACACATTCATTAATAATTTCATTCGCCCATCAAGTGATTTCATTAGTACTTGTCAGGATTCAGATGGTGAAGTTTTCGGCTTTGAATATTTGCTTTTTGCTCAATTTGAATTCGTCGGTCTTTCCGTTAGAAAAAAATCAGCGAAACCGCTTTTTGTACAAGATAACGGAGAGAGTACTTTTTTGAAACAAGTTGTTTGGATAACTTTATCATATATGCAAATGACTAAAGAGCAGGTTATTGATTTATTGATACGTATAAATTGCTTCAATATCAAGTTTAACATCAGATTATTTTACAGGTTGAAACCTGGTTAACAGATGCCAATCAATTCGTCGCTGATGATGATGATGAGACGTTCAACTTCACAGTTAGGGTTGCAGCAGGGGATCTTTTAGAAGTAAGCTCTAAAAAAAGTCTATTGTGACTAAGCTTATGCTTAAGTGCAAATTCTCTTATAGATTTTACTTGAGAAATTTCCCGAGAAAACACTGCAAGCTCTCGCTGAAACGACACAACACCTTATTGAAGAATCTAATATAGCTCGCGCTACAGGTGACAGTGTATGGTGTGTAGAACATTTCCTGAATTACAATAGATTTTTATTTATTATTTCATTACATTATTATTGTTATTATTATATTACTATTATTACATAATTATTAGTATTGCATTATTATTAGATTTATTATTCCATTATTATTATTACATTATTTATTGTGGGGACTGATGTTGAAATTTTGAGGTCCCTATTAGATCTATAAAACCATTAAAACCCATCTATATATTTAATTAGTAAACCCTAACTCTAAACTCTAATCAAGCCTTTATATATAAAGACTGAAAAAATATAGCTCAAAAATTTAAAAATTTAATAATAAAATAGTCAAAACTTTAGCATCAGCCCCACATTTATTATTATTAATTATTATTATTTGACTTATGACCGTTACTGGATCATTCTTATTAAGAATTTGCTACTATGTATTTGATGGTCTTCAATTCTGCCTATGTTATTCTTCATATAGGTGGAAGGTTCAAGAAGCTTGCCTCAAAGCTGTAGGATTTGTTTCTAATGAACTTATAGCAGCCTTACAAGATGAAGCATCCAAAGTTAAATTTGACCTACCTGGGCTGTTCGAGCATGTAGTTTTTGATCATTTGACCGCAACAGGTGGGTGTTAAAAGCAATATCTTGTAATAAATGAATCAATTAAATTTTACTGACTTTTTTTCCTTGAAGAATACCCTTTCCTTCAAGGGCGTGCATTTGTATTCGCCAGCCAATATGCAGTGCTGTTACCTGGTGAACTTGCAACGCGTTACGTATCCGAAGCTGTTCGTGCAATTCAAGAGATTGGTGCTATACCTGTAAAAGTATCTGCTTTACGAGCATTGCAAAAGTATGCATAATACTTAAAAGATATAATACACATACAGTCGAACTCTTTGTAATCACATCATCGGAATCATAGCAACTTTTTCAAAATGTGCTTAAAATATGGGGAGAGTCAATAGAATCAAGCAAATATTTTATAATAAATTTTTTTATAACTTTAAAAAACAAGAATAACTTAACAAACTTGATAAATTTAATAAAAAATTTTTAAATAATTTTTACGAACTTGTAGAATTAATTTAAAAATTTTTTATTAAATCTGATTAAGTTTTTGTTAAGTTTTAAAAAAACTTATTTGCTTGGTTTCTATTAACTCAACCTCGTGTATTGAGGCTTTTTCTGTAACTGGTTTTAAATCGACGTGCTTATAAATAGAAATTTATATGATGTACTTATATGGGGTGACTATAAAGATATTCGGCTGTATATCTTTTCTTTCCTAAATGTTTTATATGATAACTAATTTGTTTTTAGTTTCTGTCGTCATTTGGATGTTCAATTTGTGGCACCATTTCAATCCAATATTATCGAAAGCGTTGCAAATCTTCTGAATATTGTATCTGAAGACTCATTAATACTTGTATTGGAAACACTTGAAGAGGCTATCAAAGTATATTTGATATATTAATTATAAAATTATTGATATGTCATCATATAGATAATGTCTATTTATTTTTGTTAGATCAATAATGTAGTGACAGCTCGATACGAAAATTTGATAGGCCCATTAATTATTGATGTCTGGATGAAACATCCTACAGGCAATATCTTATGATCAATTTATCATCATTATTACGTGTCATCAAGTTTAACTATTTGCGTTCTTAGATCACACAATTTATCCGTTAGTCACTGACATTTTTGAAGAATTATCAAGCAATATGGATGCTCACGCTTCGTTTCAAGCTAGAGCCTTACCTCCTTTAGCTAATATACTAATTAACAACACTGATCCCGCCGTGACCGCTGTAAGTTATGTTAATAATGCTACAAATAATTAAGTTGATTATTACAATTATGTAACCTTAAAGTATTATGTTTTCAGTCAGCTATTGATTTAATTGCAAGTCTTGTAAAAGGTGGTCCTTCACCACTTCCATCTCCGTATATTGAACATGTATTTCCACCATTAATGCATCTAATGCTGACAACCGAAGATCGAAGCATTTCGCAGGTGTGTTACAATAAATTGATCTTTCGTTGATAAATAAGATCTAACCATTTTTCTTTTTGAACAGAATGGGGAAATTTGCTTAAAGTACTTTGTACAAAAAGATTGCACACGAATTGCTGAATGGTAAATATAATGATTTCGTTTTTCATCTCGTGTTTATTATTATTTAAATAATTTATTAAATTACATTGTTGCAGGACTGACGTGAACGGAAAAACGGGCTTAGATTATATGATACAATTCATCGCAAAGTCGCTTCAACCAACTGAAAGTGAATCAGCGACTTTTTTTGGCGATTTAGTTGTTAAGCTTATCGAAAAGGTACTCGGTTGGATCAATACATAAATTTTCATTTATTTCATTTAATACATTTTTACATGTCTATGATAGGCAGGGAATAGACTTTTACCTGTCCTTCCAGAATTGCTTAGAGCAGTCGCAGCGAAACTGGAAAGTGCTCGCACTGCAACATTTATACAGGTCCATTTCTGATTATATTGCAATTTGGAATATTCGTTTTTCTCTTGATCGCCTGGTTATATGTTTTATGAGATCAATATTCCTAACATTTCTCTTTTGACTTATAATTAGTCCTTGCTTATGATTTTCGCATATTTGACCCTTGACCAGAAATCTACTGTAATCAACTTTATGAGTGAATCGGTTATTAATGGGAAAAATGGTCTTGATATATTGCTTAATGCGTGGCTTGAAAATCATGATAGTTTTCAAGGGCACCATAATATAAAAATCAGGTATGGATTATTTCCTGGTTGATTTAAGATATTTATTTACTTCACCTGAGTATAATTGTACAGTGCCGTTGCGTTGTCTGAACTTTTCCTATCCTGTGATCCGAGAATACAAAATATTAAAGTTAAAGGTGATTTAATTATAAAGCCATCTTCAAGTATGTAAAATTGTATTTTATACTCATGCTCATGAAATGGTTTTTTATAATTATTTTTTTACATATAAATTTTGTGCTGGGTATTGTTTTATTTTTCATTTGTTATTTAGAGATAATGACACGCTCAAGGACTCGTCAAAGTATTATATGCCTTTTTGCCTTGTTATATCTTCAACAAATTTTTAGTAAACTATTACATTACTCGTTAGATCCGCATCAATATGTTTATATTTCTGCAGCTATAAAGATTATAAAATTACTTGTATCAGATCTCCAAAATGCAGCAGAAGGAGACAATCTAAAACGATCTGAATTGGATGACATCTTAGATGATGAGGAGGCTATCGAAACTGATGATGATGTAAGAAATATCAATTGATATTCACAAACATGATTTTACAATTTACTGATTACTTGATAGGATGATGAGTGGGAAGATGTCGAAGAGCCTTCTCCATTTGCTCCTTCAGAAGATTACATTGTTCTTTCAGGTAATATTTGCAAAAGTACATATATATCTTATCAAACTTTTTACGTATGACTTGTATATTTTTTAGAGTTTAATAAGGCTCAAGAATTTGAAGATTTTGAAGACGATTCTGATATTAAAGATAATCCAATTTATCATACCAATCTCAGAGTGAGTTATTATATGAAATTCAATGGATTATCATGTGTTATTAATTGATTAATTGCTGATATTTGACAATTTAGGAGTATTTGGTGGACTTTTTCCGCCATTGTGCCTCTCATAATATCAACAATTTTGCTGAAATATGTTCGGCACTTAACGAAGAAGAGCAACTTAAATTACGGTTTGTAATCACGGGCAGTCGAGCATGATAGTATCTTGACCGGATATCTAACCGAACATCCGGAATCTTATCTAATATTTCCTTAATCCGGATTTATTGATGGATGTTTATTTAGTTATCCGGCCTATATTATATATTTTATTGGTTTATTATGAAATTTGATTTAATAAACGAACATATAATTGAACATTATACCTACAAACATTTTTATCTCCCAAATTTCCTGATCGGGATGCATCGGAACCGGACAGATTTATACTATATATATATATATTTTTATGATAGTTTTTCAGAAAAGTTTATGCAATTAGCATACAAAAGATAAATATTTTATTAGAGATTAATAAAAAATAAAACAAGAAATTGTTAAAATAATTGTGATTTTTAATTTTTCAATATCGATATATAATTTTTTTAGGTTTAATATTATTTTAATATATCTTTTTTTGTTGTTGTTAATATAAATATTATTTAATATGATATATCTTCAATTCTTTACATATACAGTAAATTATCGCGGTTTTCGGTAGAAATGAGTAAAAAAAAAATTTCTCAGTATACCTGTACATATCTCGGATTATCTTAGCACGTTGATTTAAGATTGATTTTTGATTATATACATACGTACTTATTGTTCGAAACAATAAGTAAATCAAGCATCGATCTTTAATCAATGTGCTAAGGTATACAAGTATATGGGTATACTCGAAAAAAATTTTTTTACCCATGTACATCACAAAAATTGAGTAAACAAACGCATAGAACCAGCAAAACATTAGAACATATCTTGATTTATTAATTATTAACTACTGCCGCAAGGCAAATAAAT